GTTATAACGCCACTGCTGCCATACGTCGCCGGGTCATCGTGAACTAAGGCGAGAGTCCAAATCAGCTAATAAATCTGACGCACGACTTCCTTTTCTTTTACGTTTCGTTTTTGTCTTCTTCCCATTTTACCTAGCCTTCTTCTGTCTGACAGTGATCGCAGAAACCCATGCATCTAACCCATAACCTGGACAGAAGGCACTCGGCGCGCTATAGTAAAGACCGCGGCGGTCCTTCGGCTTTCGCGTCCCTAGGCAAGCCCGGCGGCTACCACGACCACAGGCCGGTAGTGCTATGCTGTACAAAAGGGCGCCGAGCCTGCGTGGACCAATGGAAAGCCCAGTGGCGCACCCCCAACCTTTTGCTAAGGTGCGCGCCAACTGGACCGGTCCATACCAGGGCATAACCCAGGTGTACCAAGAGAACCACGGAGGTTCGGAAACAGCCCGATGAGCCACAGGCGTCTGAGCAGGGCGCTGGTACCTAGCAGGAGCCTGGCACACAGAGGAGGGCCGCGACACCGCGCCCTTCGACACCGGGCACCCAACTTATGCCCGGGTAAACGCCCGGGTGCCCGGCCGGGCATGACCCCCGGGCAGGGTTCCAGGCAGCCCCAGCATCAAAAAAAAAAAAAAAAAAAAAAAAAAAAAAAAAAAAAAAAAAAAAAAAAAAAAATTCTGAAAAGAAAAATGTTGTGTAGAATTGCAATTCAAACGACTTTTGGCTGAGGGTCACATTAAAATTCTTCACAGAATCGGAGATAACAAAGAAAAAAACAGAATCACACTAAGGCACACCCTTTTAAACCCCTTTAGCCCCTTCCAAACCAATTTATACCCCTCTCAGCCCCCCTTGACAGCCAATTCGCAAAAACAGAAATGAGCCCGGATTTGGGGTCGTCTAGGAGAGCGCGGAAAACCAAACAAACAAAATCAAACATACATCATCCTCATCACAAGGTGTGAAGGGGCCTGGCGCTACACACAGGAAGAATGCGCCAGGTCCAGACCATGCACAGACGAAGAGGACGGGATCAGACGAAGAAGAGGGGGGAGATGGGAATGTTGTCAACACCGAATCTTCCGTACAAGTCCCAGATAATCCCTCGTCAAATGTCTGAAGCCCAATGTCAAGTCTGGATCCAAATGTCACCAATCCCTCTCTCTCGTATTCTGCTGATGCAGTGAAGTCAGGCAGCGAGAGGGTGAGGGGGGATGGTGGACTGAGAAGAGGAAGAAGAAGAACTCTCTCTCTCTCTCTCTCTCTCTCTCTCTCTCTCTCT